CATGTGAAAAAAAATAATTTTGACTAAGCCAAGTTTAGTTATTTATAAAATACTACCTATGAGAAGTTACCCACACAAGCAATTAGTTATTACTCAAAATTACGTATAACAACAATTCGTTAATTTTCAAAGATAACTTATAAATTATCCTTGTAAAAATGTAGTTTGACTTAATATAATCACAAATTGTGTCACCCTAACAATCAGTCGATCCATTATTCTTGTGAATAAATATACATATTTATATGGATAAATGCCATATTTTATTTTATATTATTCTTCAAATATGTAATTGTGTATGAAAATATGCAAAAATTGTATAACTGTCTAATTGTTATGTGTACCTATATATCGAACTAATTAATGGTAATTAAGGTGTAACATAAAACATACTTGATACACATATGGATACATGATCAAAGCAATAATTAGTAGTCAATTATGGGAGTGGAGTTTGCAAATGCTCCCAAATTTTTTATTTAAAAATAATCTTGTGATCAATCACTTCATTTTTTATTAAAAAACTTGCCCACCACTTAAGTAAACTGGAGTATCATTTAATTATGTTTTATGTTTTTAATTAGCTTTCTCAATATTTTGTAATTAGATTTGGGCGGAGGTGTGCGTACTTCATGCGAAGTTTCATAACAGTCACATGAGCTGTACTCATCTTAGGAAACTCTCATTTATGCAAGCATGCAACATATTCTAACAACTAACTATATATACTCTGTAGTTCCCCCTTTTACAACATCATATCTAAAACAGTTGTACTATTTTCTAATTATTCTTTCAACTTTCTACTAAACAATATACATTTTTGAATTTTAACAATATATGGCAAACATGGTAGCAATTAGCCAAGATGATCAACTTTTGTCCAAAATTGCGACGAACAACGGGCACGGCGAGAATTCGGCTTATTTCGATGGTTGGAAGGCTTATGACAGTGATCCTTATCATCCCACAAAAAATCCAAATGGAGTTATTCAGATGGGATTAGCAGAAAACCAGTAATACCAAAAATCTATAATTACAAAAAAAAAAAAAAAATTGTATTTATAAGCTTTGGCAATTAAGTGCAAATTCTTATAATTTTCGAAAACACGAAAAATTTGCAGGCTGTTGCAAGGTTCATGGAGAAAGTGAGAGGAAACAGAGTCCGGTTCGACCCGAACCGTATAGTGATGAGTGGCGGGGCAACCGGAGCTCAAGAGACATTGACATTTTGCTTGGCTGACCCTGGTGATGCATTCTTGGTTCCCACACCTTATTATCCTGGGTAAGTCTATAGCATATAATTATTACTCTTCTGCATTAATTTATTATTTCTTCTATTTTTAGAAGAATAGTAAATGTATCGAGAGTTGAAGTCTACATATAGCTAGCTGGGGCCATGCTAACTACTACTATATTATAGAATGTAAATGTACGAAATTAATCAGAATTGTTCGATTTTGGCTCTGAGAGTTTTCGATATTTTAAATGACTCAAAAATCTTTTGTTTTTAACATTCTAAACTCCCATCGTGCAGAAACGATCGCGACCTAACATGGCGGACGGGAGTAAAACTCATCCCGGTTATCTGCGAAAGCTCCAACGATTTCAAAATCACCCGCGAAGCCCTCGAGTCCGCATACCAAAACGCGCGAAAGTCAAACATCAAAGTCAAAGGCCTCCTCCTAAACAACCCGTCGAACCCCTTAGGCACGGTCCTCGATCGAGAAACCCTACGAGACTCCCTAAATTTTACCAACCAAAAGAAAATCCACTTAATATGCGACGAGATCTACTCCGCCACCGTTTTCGATCATCCCGATTTCATCGGGATCTCCGAAATAATCCAAGAGAACCCTAATAATTACAATCTCGACTTGGTTCACATCGTCTACAGCTTGTCGAAAGATCTCGGGTTCCCCGGTTTCCGTGTCGGCGTAATCTACTCGTACAACGACGCGGTCGTGAACTGCGCTCGGAAAATGTCGAGCTTCGGCCTCGTCTCCACGCAAACGCAACACCTAATAGCTTCGATGCTATCGGACGAGGCTTTCGTCGAGCGGTTTTTGACCGAGAGCTCGACGAGGCTCGGGGAAAGGCACGCGGTTATCTCCCGAGGATTGGGTCAAGTGGGTATCGGGAGCTTGAAGAGCAATGCCGGGCTTTACTTGTGGATGGATTTGAGGAGGCTTCTAAAGGAGGCAACTTTCGAGGCGGAGCTCGAGCTTTGGAGGGTGATCGTGAACGAGGTGCGGCTAAACGTGTCGCCGGGCGGGTCGTTCCATTGCTCAGAGCCCGGGTGGTTTAGGGTTTGCTTCGCCAACATGGATGAGGAGACATTGGAGGTGGCGCTGACGAGGATCGTTAAGTTCGTGGTGGGGAAGAGGAGTGGGCCCGAGTCGGGAGGTCGGAAGCAGAGCTGCCGGAGGAGGAAGCTCGAGATTAGCCTATCGTTTAGGCGGCTCGACGATGTGTCGACTCACTCGCCCATGTCATCGCCGCTCGTACAAGCGAAGACTTGAAATTTTATGGACATCATAATATATATATGTGTGTATGTATGTGGTCTTCTATTTCCTATGATGTTTCATGTGGTGTTTATTCACATTTGTGTATTGAATCATGAAATGTAACATGGTAGGAAATAGAAGATGGCAAAGGTGTGAACAAATAAATGGTTATTGTGTGGTGTGGTGAGTAAAAGAGAGAGCAAGGTGATGATGAGTGATTAGAGGGATAAATAAGGGTTGGTTTGAGTGAATTTCACCAAAAAAAAGTGTGAATTAATGTATGTTCTAATTGTGAATAAAATGTGAGGATTTGTTTACAAATTAAGTATCACGTGTTTCATTCATGTTATGCCTTAGTCGAGTGAAACAAAAGAATCACAAACCATCTCTAACGAGAAACTCATTTCTAACTTATTTTGCAGTAATTGTCACTTAAACAATAATTCTTCTTCTATGAAAAACTTATTTTCAAACTTAAAAAATATTCTCGAAATATTCTTTTCCACATTATTTTTTATAATTTTTTTTAATATTGCCCACATATTTAACTAATTTATAGATTAGAATTTACTCTTGTTTTGTTTGATGGAAACGTATGTAATAAAGATAATTACTAATAAATAATTCGTATGTATACAAAATTTAAACAAATATTTAAAAATATATGAATTACACTATTAGAGAAAAAAAATTACATCAGACTTAGCATATATTCGTGCAAATAAAAATTACATAGCTGTTAAAATTCAATATAAAAGTCTTTCTTTTCTATAGATAAATTATTTTAAAATATTTGTACAACTAATCTCAAACTATGATAATTATATTTTCATGGGGATTGAATTAAATTTATTAACACGTTTGCAAATTTTACCATATATGATGCAGCAAAAATTAAGAACACTAGATGTGGCAGAGGGGAGCAATAATGCAGAAATGAACAAGAAGGTGAGGTCTAGAAGCTGGAAATTGCAGGTTAAGGGAAAATTAAAATACTTCTTGTGGAAGTGTTACAATGACATTCTGCCAGTAAATCAGAAGCTGCTTCAGAGGGGTATAGAAGTTGATCCAATCTGCCAAACATGTGGGGAAGCAGAGGAGTCAGTGGAGCATGTATTGCTGCAGTGCAGGAAAGCCAAAGTTGTATGGAAGTTATCTCAAGTGCATTGGGATGGTTTGGAGGCTAGTTCTGGGAATTTCAAAGAATGGTGGTGGAGAGCTTGTGCAATTGACAGAAGAGCAATATCTGAAGATCGACTCCAGTTGTCCACTTACATTTTGTGGTGGCTTTGGAAGTCGAGAAATCTTTGGAAATTCCACAACACTTCTATGCCAGAGATTGAGATTGTGAAAGCTGCATGGAAAGAGTGGAGGGAATTCTCCCTTGCTAAAGCAGAAAGCTGATGGAAGATAAATATTGCTAGGTCCTTTTGTTAGGTTCAGTGGTAATTTTTATCCTCCTGTGGTTTGTTTTGCTATTGGCTGTCATCATTTAGATTTATTGTTATGCTAAAGAGTTCAGGTTGTATTCCTGCCTTTAGAATATTCAGTGTGTTGTCTTATATTTTAGAGCATCATGGGGATGTCTCTCCTATGGTTTTTTCTTTGTATTTTCTTTGTTGAGGTCATTTGATCTCCTGATTTATAAGATATTGNTTATAGATAAATTATTTGAAAATATTTACATGAATAACTTTAAAATATTTTAGTACTTTTTTCATGGTTATTAGATTGAATTTCTAAACATATATTGTTGTGTGTATATATGTGTGTTTTTGCTCATTTTCATGTCATATTTTTAGTTATTATTTCAAATTTAAAAAATAATAAATAATAAGAAATTTTTAAAAAAATAAATAATATATTAAACACCAAATAAACCTATATAATGCCAAAAATTGGCAAAAAAAATTTGCAGTAATCCAGCGTCTCTTTTAGAGAGAATAATGTAAAATATGCAGTTTGATAGAGCAAAATGAAGTTTTTAATTTTAGAGAGAATATTGTAAAATATGCAGTTTGGATAGAGCAAAATGAAGCTTTTAATCTAAAGTTTGAACGTTTTATCCGCCTACTTCCCGTTAAGCCTCTACTTCCTATACGTTTGGTTGATAAGAAGATAAAAAATGTGTTATCTGGGCCAAAAGTTTTATTTATTGGGTCTCTTTTCCAAATTTATTTTTAAGGAGTTGATCCTCTAATTTTAGAGGAATTTACACCTATACTATTATATATATTTTATATTATATATTTACACTCAATTAATATTTATTTGCAAGGATACAAAATCACCGCAATATATTTGCACATATACCAACATATTCAGTTAAGGAATTTATGAGCAAATTAAGTGTTATTATATCATTAATTATGAACAACATATATCCTTACCAAAATCGCACCCCACATTCTCTCATCACATAAAATCTTCCTTATCTCTTATCTAAGTAATTACTTTGGTACATGGTTTCTTCCTTCAAAGTCATTGTTCTCCATGGAAGATTTCTTCTTCTCTCCACAGCAACGTACCTAAATTTTATTCCTTCAACCTCCGCCATCGTTTTTTTTTCTTTCGTCGTTTCCCTTGCCAGCGTCTTCCCTCGAGCAGCCCTCCATCATCACAGCAGCCCTCAAAAATACCTCTATCACTTCACTCAGTGCCGGTTATTTCGCCCTCGTACCTCGCCGGAATTCTCACCGGATATCAATTCTCTGCGCCACTAACAGGAGGAAGCAATTTGGGATCAAAAAATTCGACAAATTGGTGCTCGAATCAGCCTGTGTCATGGCATCAAAGCTAGGGTTTTTACCCGAGCCATTAGGGTTGTTGCTGAGGCAATGCGTTGGCGGCGACGGCCGGCGGTGGCCATGGAGGTGGGAATGGATTCTGGAACGGGTTCGGGCGGGGCTGGTCCGATGGGTGGAGAAGGAAGGGGAAGGGGAAATTGGGGATGGTGGGCATCTTGGTAATTTGTGGGTTGGTTGGCTCGTGGTTTGTTCTGGGTAAGGTCCGTAAGAAGTTAGTGTTAGACGTTGATGATGTGATTGGGGGTTCGGGTTTGATCCTGTTCGGGGTTTCGGCCGGAGGGTGGAAGACAGGGGTTAAAGATTGGATTTTGGGTTCGATTTTTTAGGGTATTGGACGGTGTAGATTGAAATTCGCAGACTTTTGGATTGGAGTATATGTACAGTATATGTAGTATATGTGGTGTGTATAGAGAGTATATGTTCAATATATGTTTGTTTTTTCTGTTTTCAATGTTTTATTTGTAGTTTGTCTGGTATATTAGAAGATTTTTTTGTTCAAAAAGAATCTGACAAAACATAAACTGATTTTTTTTTTTTTTTTTTTTTTGTGTATATGTATGGTCTATATTCAGTATATTTTCGGTACATGATAAAGAAATTTATCGCGAGACATAATTTTTATGTATAAAATCAGTTTATATTCAGCATAAGTTGATTGTTGTTGTTGTTGTTGTTGTTGTGTATATGTATGGTTTATATTAAATAACCTATTATAATATGTTTATAAATTATATATATA